TACCACGTTTGAAATTTTCTTTTAAAAGATCTCATTTCTAATTCGGGACTTTACCTTCTCGTGTTTTGGCATCCTTGTTTTACGGATCTCCATATTGACATCGTCGGGTTTTATTTTCCGCTTCAATTCAATCAATATGTTAACGTGTTACAAACTGAATGACAATCAAGCTGATCTGGTCCCCGGGGGTCGGGAATTTCGCCAGAATTATTGCCAATTATTTAAATGACTCCCACCTGATTTTTTATGTCAGCCATGTCTGTAACAAATCGTTAAACTTTGACAGTGTGTCGTGAAGAAGGTACTAAAAATCGACACTAGGTGGACTCATGGATGCACTGGTTGTGAGATCAGAGAAACCGTGTCATTTAATTACCTAGCAGACGTCATGTTACTCGTTACTCGTTACTTGTCCCCGGTGAAGATGTTTAAGGCCAGGGTTACAAATAAGAAAACAGATAGAGCTGAGTCGATTTTTTGGGGAGGATTCGAACCAGCGACACTTAGTTGACTAGTTCATGACACTCCAGGTCGCAACCGACTAAGACTAAAAGGTGAGGCCGAGAGTTTGGTAGAAGAGGAATTGTAGGGAATAAGGGGTTTGAGTCTTAAATTTTGAGTTGGTGAAGAGACTTGCCATATTTTAATTTATTTTTAGTTTAGTGTGATAAAATCTTAAAACGTATCTTTTGTTTTCAGCATTAAGAGAACAATGTATGAAAAGCTTTCAGAAGATCGGTGAGTTGAACTTCTTTTTTCATACGTGCAAACACATTTCATAATGACCTGATCTTACGACAAATCGTGTCCATATCTCGCGTTTTAGTTTTCTCTACTGTTTCGATGATATCGCAACGTACAACGTACAACGCCTATTCGCAGTAACACATCATCCGTCCAACAAAAGCCGTTCGTCGGATATAAGCCACCACCTATCCGTCCATTTTAAAGCCACTGTCTGTCCATCATATGCCATCGTCAGTCCGTTCATATTTCGTATCCCTACGTTTGCTGAAGCGAAAAGAAGTTTTACGCTCGGCCATATTTAAACAACCACTCAATGATACGAGCGATGTAAATGAGAAGCCCTCTTGGAACCCACAAAGGACCAGTTATCAACTCTTTACAGTGGTGTTTTTCTCGAAATGAGTTAATTACGTTCCATTTGAGTGTTTATCGACGCCATATTGATTTATCGACGCCATCTTGGATTCGGACATCGATATGTACCGGAGTATATAATTGGGATAAGAAATAGTAAGTATATGTGTAGAATGAAACAGCAATGTACGCCCCTTCAGAGCACCTTGATATCGACCAGAGATTCGATTTTCAATACTGTTATGTACTAGAGGATAGCAATATTAAAACAGAACTTGAATCATGTTGTTACTCAGAGTTTCGCTATGCGATCTTCAGACGTCTGTCCTATTAAAAGTACAACAGTGGACTGTTCTAGAGGATTGTTTGTCTACTGTTGTACTTTTTGTATGCCTGTCTGCCAATACCAGTATTTTGGTTTGTCAACTCGACATAGGGTCAGTATGACAAAACGCTATTTTTGTGTTTGGGTAGGTCATCTGTAAATTGGTAGGTCTCTGATGGTCCAGCCAGGAGAGATCAATGCCAAGAGGTTTGGAGAAGGATAAGCTGTTAGACAGAATCACCTTTATTTTCTCCTTATTGACCCAGCTGTAAATGGGTACTGGATAAGTCATCTTTCTTCCTTGCTGGTAAAGTTGAATCCGGTAAAGATCAATAATAAGAGGTTTGGTCAAGGACCAACTGGTAGATAGGATCCTATCCTTATAAGATCAAAATCAAGATGTTTGGTCAAGGACCAGCTGGTAGAAAGGATCCTTAACTGTAGACTGTGTTTTCCTTGTAAAATATATTTTTGTTTGTGCGTTCCTTTCATTCTTTCTTTTTATGCTTCGATGGAAACGATCGAAATGGATATTGCTCTTGGATATCGGTCACTTGTGACGAAGACCGAATCCTCGAAAATTATGATCAGAAAAAATAACACATCAATTATTTTCAGAATCATAATAATTAGAATACTTCTTCTTCTTCATAATTATCATTGTCAACATCAAAACTGTTTCCATAGCAACCAATTTCCTAACCTCAAAACAGGCTAATTCCTTTGAAATCGGACTGAATATTTGAGACACAATTCAGGTAATTATGATGAGGTCTGAGAAGAATTATTTATTTTTATCATTTCTACCTGGAGTTAATACAGATGTAGATATTTTGTTTCTTGCATTTCTTGTGGCTTGCTTCATTCCATCTCTGATCTGACGACGTTTTTCTTGAAATCATGTTCAGTTAATTTCTGCCCCAATGGCTGCAAAGGCGCTGAACAGTCAGTTATCAAATTAATTTTTATTTCATTAGTCCAAAAGTTATTTAGATGTAAAAATCTATTCCATTCCATCAGCCCAATAATGTACAGGACAGTAGGATATAAAACTACATTTCAATTCATTAGTCCAATAAGATACAGAACAGTAAGATATAAAACTTCATTTCATTTCATTAGTCCAATAAGATACAGAACAGTAAGATATAAAACTTCATTTCATTTCATTAGTACAATAAGATACAGAACAGTAGGATATAAAACTCTATTTCATTTCATTAGTCCAATAAGATACAGAACAGGAGGATATAAAACTATATTTCATTTCATTAGTCCAATAAGATACAAAACAGTAGGATATAAAACTCTATTTCATTTCATTAGTCCAATAAGATACAGATCAGTAGAATATAACACTACATTTCATTCCATTAGTCCAATAATGTATAGAATAGTGGGACATAAAACTCTATTTCATTTCATTAGTCCAATAAGATACAGAACAGTAGGATATAAAACTACATTTCATTTCATTAGTCCAATAAGATACAGAACAGTAGGATATAAAACCGTATTTCATTTCATTAATCCAATAAGATACAGAACAGTAGGATATAAAACTATATTTCATTTCATTAGTCCAATAAGATACAGAACAGTAGGATATAAAACTATATTTCATTTCATTAGTCCAATAAGATACAGAACAGTAGGATATAAAACTCTATTTCATTTCATTAGTTCAATAAGATACAGAACAGTAGGATATAAAACTCTATTTCATTTTATTAGTCCAATAAGATACAGAACAGTAGGATATAAAACTCCATTTCATTTCATTAGTCCAATAAGATACAGAACAGTAGGATATAAAACTATATTTCATTTCATTAGTCCAATAAGATACAGAACAGTAGGATATAAAACCGTATTTCATTTCATTATGTCATTGCCTTGCGACTTGTAAGATAGCTATTTTGAGCAGAGTCCAGTGAGACTTCTGTTGAATCGAGTAGGTTGAAAATAGTTAAATGTTAAAGCTGAGATGCCATAATATAAATTATGACCCATTGAATTGCACATAATATAGAAATCAGACAATAAAACGTTGCCATGGTTACACGAAATTTTAAAATCTAAAAGTCAAATATTTCTAATGAATTGGCACCATTGTGGTAATTGACTTGTGTCGCGGTATAATTTTGTTTTAGAATACATGACAATAGCAGATCCGAGGGGTGGGGAAAGAGTTTTTGATACTGGGGCCCAGTGGGGCCATTGTGTTCGGGAAGGGGTCGGAGTTAATTTTGGGGCCCATAAATTAAAGGATGGAAATTATGTTATGAGAGAAGGGGGGAGGGGAGAAGAGATTTTGGATATCGGGGTCCTGTGGGGATATTGTGTTTCGGACAGGGGTTGGATCTTTTGTAATATTTTATTATTTTCGGACTTCATATCCTAAAGGATGGAAATTATGTCGGGGAGAGGGTGGGCGGGGATTTTGTTAACCTAAAGGCTGAAAGTAATGTCTCCAAAAAATCCATCCAAAATCTGAGCTAATTAATGATTCTAATTAAGGTCTAATTAGCAGATTTTGTTAATTAACATTATTATATCTTGGCTGTGTATATTTTTGATAAATGTATATTCTGACTAACTAGCCTAATAAGTTTGTTAACCTATTGGGTGATGGATTGCAAAATCGGAATTATATTTTTTTTTCCAAGGTTTTTAAATTTGTCAGTGCCTGAAGCCCGGTGCACACTGACTGATCTTTAGACCGCGACTTAAATAATATGGACGTACACATATTGAGAAGCAATGGCGGATGTAGTGCCAGACAGGGTATGCTTACTCTTCTAGACACCTGATACCACTTTTCATTATGAAATACTAACTCACTTATGATTGATATACTTTGTTAAATGTAGCGCCAGGCACTTCATCATATGAATAGTTCATTAGCTGCTAACAATGTATTGCCCAGCTTGGATTTTAGATTTTGTGTTTTGTTTTGCGGTTCTGATCGTTGGCAGTTGCTACATTCCAACTTTTTATCGTCAGTTTGCCATGAGGGCAGGGACACTGTCGCCCAATCATATTAAGTTGATGCATAAAAAAAGCGAACCTGTCCATGGCCAGTACCTCTATGGGAGCTCATACAGTTTTTTTTATCAACTCTGAATATTGTTTTAACTATTGAGGTCTTACAACTGGGAATTTTAAGTTTGAATATCAAAACTAATTTTGTAAAAAAATATAATATTTAATAAAGTGTCCTAAAGTACATAGAAATATATAAAAATAAATATTATAAGGAACTAAAAATCCCCCCTCCCCACCCAAACACACAAACACCCTCACCCTCATCCCTATCAAAACAAACGAAAAATAATGAAAAGAAAATTTAAAAAGTACCCCAAAAAAATATATCAATAAAAGTCAAGAAACTGAAATGTTACGGAAATGAAAAAAAATGAAAATAATGAATGTAAATGAAATATAAAACATTCCCTCAGAACCCATGTCCTTCTACCCCAACTCCTACCCAACCCCTACCCCACTCCTATTCCATCCCAACCCCATGCCAATTCCATATCCCCCACCCACCCTCAAGTAAACAATATGACGTTTAAAACACCAATCGATAGCAGTAGTCGTTGACAAAGTTAAACATCTTGAAAGCAGCTCTTCTGGGTTTTGACCATTTTTCTTCTGATGACAAAGCAATTTTGAAGGGTTTCAAAATGGCGTTGATTTCATCTCTTGGACTGTAGGTTTCAGACGACAAAGCTGTTTCGCCGAAAGTTGGTTTTTCTTTGACATTGTCGGTCGATTCTGAAAGTTCGTCTGCTGCGAAAAGTTCTAGCTGCATCAAATTGTCATTGGTGGCTTCTCCAGGACTTGAAGCTTCTAATGATGAAGCAGTTTCGAAGGAGGTAGCATTCTTCTGTTCATAACTGGTTGACTCTTGGACTCCCTCTGCAGAGCTAACTTGTAATTGCATTAAGGTATTTAAGATGTTGTCGATGTAAACTCCGGATGACACTGCAATTTCGAACTCAATTTGCTTCTCATAAGTATCAGTTGCCTTTATTCCATTGAAAAATGGTGGCTCGTTTGAACTGTTGGCTTCTTCTGGAAGTTCGTTTACAGCAAAGAATGGCAGTTGCTTCAAGCTGGTATCGAAGACTTCATTTGGACTCGAAGCTTCGATTAACACAGCTGATTCCAAAGTAGTTGATTTCTGTCCACCATTATTTATTTCCTCTGCGAGTTCATCTACAGCAAAGAATGGCAACTGCTTCAAGTCGAGAACATCTTTTGATCTTGGTGACTCGACTGTTTTGAAGATGGTTTGAGTTCCCTCAGAATCAATTGTCTCTTTGATAAAGTCCAGGTCTTGAATAAGGTCTGGTAAGCCTAAGTCGTGGCAAGCTTGCCTTTTGGCTTTCTCTTGTACATGGCCAACACCGTCTCCGTCACCGATCAACATCTGGATATCAAGAGCAGATGAAGTTTTGGTTAATGTCTTTTCGGCTTCGTTGATGTTATCTGAAAAACAGAGGACATGTTTTAGCTATTTATTTGGCCCATCAGGGTGCCCGAACAGTTTGATAGAAAATTTCATTTGCGACATGTCTTTTTAGAAAGTGTGGGAGGGGTATAAATTTGCTTTTTTATTTCGTTAATCTTCGAACTGGTCGACAACTCTTGCGGGTTTCCATAATTCTCGCGGAACATTCACGGTGGGTCATCCCCAAAAATGACATAGTTTGGAAAAAAAGATTATCGACGGCTGAAATAAAGTTGATAAAAGCACATTTACTTGATAATAATAAAATATTATAACTCACCATCATTACAAAGTAAAGCCATCGCATCTTTAAATGTAGGATTTTGAGCAAGAGTCAGTTCTAGGTCTTTAGAAATATCATCATCTAACTCGCCATTGGTTAAAAATAACTTGAAGGCTGCTCTGGATAAGTTTGGAGGTGAAGAGATGAGAGATAACTCTCCAACTGTTGTTCGGTTGTCTGAAATAGAACAGGCAAAAATTGTATTGAAATTACAAGGGTGAAAAAGGCAAAACCAATATTCAAATCACAAGGAGAAAACACATTGATAAAATGGAATTGAAAATTTAAAGAGAGAAAATGCCCAAAACTCACCGAAACATTCGACTATGGTAATAATAGGTATTATTATTCCTTCTTGTAGATATCTTCCACCCCAGGGGACATACACACTTTTAGAATTCAACCCCTCTTCTATCTTTATCACCCGGTTTTCACCGTCCTGCCATCTTTTGATCTGACCGCTCTCCCTGTCCAAAATCACCAGCTTGAACTCTTCAGTCGTCTCGTGCTTCATTTCAAATTTCGTACTCCAAACATCGTTCATACTGAAACATTTAGAAGTACCGGAACTTTCCCAGTTGCCCAGAAAATCTCCCGAACCAACAACAGCGAGTGATTCATTGTAACTCAAGTGGTAATGAGTCGCTACAGAAACTTTACATCCACCATCCATGATGAATTCTCCCGATCCTTCTCCGTATTTGGTCTTCATGAGGCCACCAAAAACACCAATATCAGCTTGACGGTACTGATCTTCTTCAACTACTTCTCGTTTTTTCATCAGGACCCAGTTGAAATAGAAAAAGGACCTCTGAGGCATATGTACCTTCACTTTCCATATTGGTGAGTCCTTGGCAATCCTCCTGGCGTCCACGCCGTATTCGGTGTCCCAAAATCCCAGCTCGTTTATGGAACCCATTAATCGGGGAACCACTCCTTTACGTCCAGGATCCAACTCCACCTCAAAAACAACAGGAACCGTCAAATTCTTCATCTTCTTACGAAAATATTCCAAAATATTCCGAAAATCTTCAAGATAACTTGAAAAACGCAGCTTCTCTTGTGAAAACAGATAGGCTACTGATTATGACGTCATAATGCCATGAAGAATAAAGAAATAACGTCGCGTCGTTTGTTCTCGTTAACGACGCTGTAAAAGCCCCCTTCCCTTTTCCAAGAGGATTTTACCGAGAAGCATTTCTATTTGATACTGTATGACCCAAAATATTAAGACATTGGCTTCAGGGTCAAAAACGGCTCAACATTTTGCTCTATTTTTGATAAGACCTCCATCGCCATTCTTAAGGCCAGGTCGTAATGGAGTCAAACGTGTCATATAACGGCAAACGGCAACCAAACTTTTGCCTTATAATTTTCAACTTGGATTGCGCAAGAGCCTTGACTCTTTAATGACCCATAGCACTAAAAAAAATGCGCCATGCCTTAAATTTTTGTTTTCGTCAAGCTTATCTATTGCTCTGTGACCCAGGCCAGTACTTTCATTGAGACTCGTCTAGCTTATCTAAAGCGACAATGACTTTGAAATTCTAAGAGTCTGTGCTCCATTGTAAACCATGTCTACGTCGGTCTAAGGGAGACAATAACTACAAATCGATTATAATCAGGGATTAAATTGGAAATCGGATTAAAACCACTAATCTCCTTATCATTTCGCCGCCAGTCCGTGAAAGATTTTACAGTCAGTTCTATCTTTAAGTTCTGATTTTTATTGTATTGTTTTTAAACATGGGAATAAACAAGTTTGAAAATTAAAAAGAATACTGGTCTTGAATGTGGATTGACGTTTTCGATTTTAAATATCTAGGGTACACACCCTGGAGTATATGACTCTGCCTCAGACTGAATCACACCCACGTTTGAGTCCCGGAAACACCCCATACATTCTCGTCTCAATCGCGCATTTGTTCGTGCTCAATTTATCCATTTTTGTGTCTCCATTGCGACTCTTCTGTACCCAGATCGCGACCTTCATCGCTTATGCTTACTCCTACCAAGACTGTCCCTTCCTGCCCTCTTTCGTCTTTGCAGAATATCCAGCTTAAAATAGCCACGTATTATTAGCAGAAGGGCTCAAGCGTAGAGTGGTAAAGGGTTTCTTGTTCTTTAATTAATTCTTAAGAACAACTATCCTCTATCACCCAGTCCTACTTTGTCTACGCACAGGTTCGAGTACTGAGATCTGGATCAGAGATTAAAAAAATAATCGGCCTTAAAAATCGTGACTATTGCATATCGGCAGATTGATTCGATCTTGGGTGCTTCAACAAGGTTAAGCATTCTCTGTGGTCGTCTTTCTTTAACGTTTGAAAAATAATCGGCTTAAATTCTAACTATGTATTTAATTAACACTGTGTTGTACAGCGTACAGTTAATTAGTTCAAGGGAGATAAGCTGTAATTAAATCCTGAAAACACGACTAATACCACAATTAATTCATTATCTCTCACGGTCAATACAGACACCAGGTCGACGTTTTTCTTTTCTTTGATTAATTTTTCTATTTTAATAGTTTTATAGGGATGAATTGGTTTATTGTAAGAACCAGTTTAAAAGTATTTAAGTTTAAAGATAGGCTTGCGGCTTTGCAAAAATAATAAAAGGGATTCTTTGGTATTTTTTTCTATTGAAAGGGTTTTAGTTTGTTTTGTTTTGTTTTTTTGCAGCGGAAATATACACTTACAAGAATGTGACCGATTCAAAGTTTTGAATTCACGTGGCGGTTAAACATGCACCCCACTGTTCGCGTTACAGACTTGATCTAAACTTATAACCGATTCAAGGGATTATCCGAATAAGATTTTATCGGATTAACGTTAATCCTTAGTGACCGAATAACGATAAATTCGAACCCTTATACATTGGGTTAGCCATTCGCCTAACAAGATCGATTCTTTGACATTATTTTAGTCAGGGAGTAACTGACGAGTAGACTTTAAGGCTTCAACGAAAACGTTCCACAAGAAACACAGAGTTTGTTTCGGCTAGATTGATTCAAATTTGAATATTGAGTCTCAACAAAAACGTCCAAAAGGAACACGGGGAATAGATCGAGAGTTTTGGATAAAATGGCTACCAATGGATTGTTTGTCGGACTGATTGTATTACTGACTGTTACACAAGGTAAGCACTACTATTTTTTTTTTCAGAATGTAGGGCGGTCTGTAACACAGTTGGTTAGAGCGCTGGAATCTTTACATCATTATTTACGTCATTTCATTGACTTGCGTCATTTGCTTGGTACGTGGAACAATAGGTGGTCGTGGGTTCTGTTCCAAGAAGTTTGACCAAGGACCAGCTGGTACGAAGGATCCACTTAACGTTAGTTGTTATTCTTGTAACTACAATGGTTGTTTCTTTCTTTCAGTCTATACAACATGTGTGATACCTACAGCCTTACAAGGGACCTGGGACGTACAGGGTCGAACCAACACTCTGACCTTCACCTCATCAATGTTAGTAGGGGTCAAACTGGATCAGTTTCCTAATATTGTCTTCAACTGTTTCACTCATTCAGGAAATGAATTTGTCTTTAGGTAAGATCCTTCATTCTTTTCCCATACGTACTGACCACAGAAAATGGCAGCTGTTGAATCAATCCTATGCAATGGTGGGGCCAAAGCCTCGCAGCCACTAAAGCAAGTTTTACGGACAAAAAGGTTGGAAATTCGGGCAATCTCAGATATTTCGCACCCCCCCCCCCCCCATCGGACGAAAACCTGGCTCGGCCAATGATCCTATGACTATACGAGCGACATTTGAAGCAGCTTGGGTCGACCATTGATCACTCATTATCATTACTATCCTCATCTGACCATAGTCAACTATTATTTTCTATCCTAGTCCATGACTATTTGTGAATGGATCGGAAGTAAGTTTCTCTTAAAGCTACTATAGAAAAGAGTTTACTGTTCCCTGGTATTCAACTCTAACATTACCACCCATACTGGTAGATTCTGGTTACTAAAGCATGCTTTTTGTTCTCTATTTCAGATCGAATCTAGAAGAACTATTTGGTGTATCAGTGAAAATTTATTTTTGTTTGGACTTCGATCAAGTCTCTTCGTCAGAATACAAGATGTACGAACTGACCCGTAAGTATAGTCCGTTAACTCTGAACATTCCTCTTGATTGTCATAACACCACACCACATCCATGATATCATGTGTGTCTTTACAATCATTCTATAGAGCTATAAGTTTCATTCAGATACAATATGCTAAACAATATCAACTATGTGAACACTCACAAAGGGATGTTGAGTGGATTAACCCATTCGCAGAGTGTCATAATGTCTTACAGAAGAGTAAAAATACCCCTTACTCACTTGTGCCCTACGTATTGCAAAGGAGCGCAAAAACATTTCCCAGTTGTAAAAAAAGATATTGTATTTCTATTGTAGATAAAGTTGGTCTATATTATGAAGATCGTGCACGTGCATTCTTACTGTCTGATGACCCCAATGTTACTAAGGCTGATGTTTGTCAACTGAGTAGATCTACAGTTACACCAAGAATCATGATAAAACGATAACTTACACCCACTGATTGTACCCTCAGCCACGAACGGACCAAATCATCAACATACAAAATGCTCATATTAATTATTGAACCAAGACCGACAACTCTAGCCCTACCTAGTTTCACAGACGTGATATTTGGATGTGATATCGTCACTGTGATTGCGTATGAGAAACTGGGAGGGGCTAGATTGAACCAAGACCGACAACCCTAGCCCTACCTAGTTCCTCAGACGTGATATTTGGATGTGATATCGTCACTGTGATTACGTATGAGAAACTGGGAGGGGCTAGATTGAACCAAGTATTTTATGCGATAAAAACCTATAAACTCGAATGTTAAATTATTGTGTTCCTGTATTGTTTATTTTAATGTATGTCTTTTGTTTTTGTTAAATTAATATAATTGAAAAATGTCAAAATATGTCTTATAGATGTCCATTAGTTTCCATTACATTTATGCAGTCTCATGATGATATTCGAAGCACCGTATTAAGTATATTTTTCAAAACTCTTCTTGGGAGAGAACCCTCTCAGACGCACCATGAGGGGTTTGCGACTATGCACAGCCACAGAGCTGCCGCATCTTGAATCTCAACTTCAACAGTTGTCCCCCATTAAGTTAGTTTGCCCGCCACCCCCTAATTTGGACCCGCAGATAATGAGAAAATAACAAAGCTAAGTTATTGTACAATTTTATTCATAGCCTCTCTTTCGATTCTGTACACGTTCCATTCTTCCTTGTCCGTCATGTTGATCCCGCCGAACTTTTTATAGAATTTGATGGCTTCTGAGTTCCACGCTAAAACAGCCCACTGCAGTCTTTTACACCCTTCTTCCACGCAGATCTGAAATAATGCACGAGAACAGGTAGTAGCCATTGGTGTGGCGATCTTTGTAAATTGAGGGTTTGTGTGGGGATATTGTAGATTCATTGGATATGTGGAATGAAATTTGAGTCCCTTTAGATCTGCAATAATACAGGAGCACAGACAGCTATAGGACGTTTTTTTGATATTAGGGGCAGGGATTTGGAGGGGGAGGGGGGTCACATACTCCTATAGTTCAATACATAGTTGAATTTGATTGCTCACCACTCCAGTCTATTGGACGCTCGGGATAGCTTTGAGTTTTATGCCCCACAGATCTTAAAATAATAAAGAAGCACTGAAAGTATCCATCAGTGTAGTCCTGTTTTCAATTTGGGGGTGGGGACCTGGAGTGGGGTTGAACTTATTTGAACTTATGGAGATGTCATCAAGTGTAGTAAGGGCATATTAAGGGAACCACAATGGCGACACAACAAACACCCACGCTTACCTGGGCAACGCGTTTAAAAAGGGCGCTACCAATACCCTTATTTCTATGGTCGGGGGTGACACAGAGGTCCTCTAGGTAGATACATCGCCCCTCCCAGGTACTGTAGATATCGTAATATAACGCATAGGCCAGTAGTTTGCCGGGAATTGTTGCCCCATCTGAAAATTTAAAGATCATTTCACAGAGATGTTTACATTTTTAAGGGTTTTTTTTCTCCATTGTAAGCTATCAAGTATTTAACCAAAGTCGCGTTCTAATGGCGTCATTTCTAACCAATCAAAGCCTGTCACAGGCCTAAAGAATCCGTGTCTTGATAACAAGGACGCATGTATGGAAAACGAAACCCAAGGTAAAGCTTTATAACAGCCTCATTCTGGAAATAACATACCTTTGTCGAGCTCCTCTGCCACCAGCGAACTGTACAGGGGTTTCTCCCCAAAACCATCTCGCTGTAACACTGAAAAACGAATAATTAAATCCCAAAACTGGGTAAGTAAAATCTGAGCTGTTAACACTATTACTGACTGGCTTAGTAAAAAATTCCGTTTCTGAGACGGTACGATTGGTTTAATGGATGACGATTGGAGAACGTGTCCCTTTTAGAGTAGCCATTCAGGCCACAAGGCGGGAGCTTGATAGGTTTCCCTAAACCTAAATAATCCCAGCGCTCTAACGAAGACAGCAGGATACTTTTAGTTAAAAATCAGACTGCTCCTTTAAAGTTGAGATCATACCTTCAACAGTCATTTGGACAGAATCCGGCATTTTCTCATATTCAGCCAATTCCTGAAAAAAGACATTAATTCACATAACATATCATGCATTCATGAGTCGAGTAACTTTACCTTACAGGTTTTGGATTTGTTTATGCGAGACACCTTAACATTGAAATCTCATTACAAGTAAAGGGATATAACTCTTAATTGATCAAATCAATTGCACCACATGCACACAATAGCAAGTAAATGCATTACCACGAAGAGCTTAAAATTAGAAAACGAACCTTGATAAGGCCCAATATTTCTGCACAATCCTCTCTTTTAGCTTCTCTGATTCGAAAATTAGCCATTTTGTTGAATGCCGGCCTCTCTTAGAGCTCAGAATCGTCTTGTATGTTATATACAATTTCTCAATTATTATCACATGTTTTAAGTACTGGATAATTGGTGAATGTAGTCTCGAACGTCACATATGTAAACATTAGCAACACGATTCAATGAGATGTTGTCCGTGTTGTCTTTTGCTTAAGAGATGATGATTTAATCTTACTCTAACAACAATTATCATTGAATGAAATGAATGGAGTTTTACGTAAGGAATGGTCGAAGAGCTGGATAATTGGTTATGTAGTCTCGTATGTCATATAGGTCATACGTGTGAGTAGATACACCCCCGAAAAATGGAAGTCATGCTACAGGCCTGCGTGAATCTAAATGATAACGAGTGTTAAATATCAACGATGCTTTCTCGTGTACCCTACGCACCATTCATGTAAAAATGTACAGAATCCCCTAAATCTCCATATCAAAATACTGGCGTGGTTTCGAAACCCCTGAGATCAAAGCAAATTGCTACTTCAAGAATCCCCACAAGTGGTAAATGAAAAGTTTTCGCCCGCTTTCAGATAAAACTGATATCACAGACCGTACTTTCTCGTGTACCCTACGCAACACATGAAGATGTACCAACTCCCCTTTATTTCCTCACCAAAATACTGAACCGACACCACAGTTAACTACGGATTGGTAGGTTGCTTAGAACAAGTTAACGCCCGCGTCCATTCTACGCATACGCATCATAAGTGAAAGTCCTGAAAAGGTTCAAAATTCTCATTATCTCCAGTTCAAAATATTTTTGTTTATTTTTTGTTTGTGGCGTGACACTACAAGACCCTTATCATTGCCAAACGAACACATCTGGATTATTTCCCGCGTTTTTTCACCACTCCTGGACCCAATTTGGCATTATCTAATCACGTGGTTAGCTCTGGAAATAAAACAAGATTCCTCGCAGTTTCCAGTTTACAGATTTTTAAAGACGTCGATTCGGATCTGTCTTCATGTAAGTTTGGAATTTGGATTTCAGGTTTTGGATCAAAAGTACAAAACAGGGTTTCAGTATAATTCTATTTGTGCACAGTGTTTCCAAGATTAAAACACCTAATAGATTTAACAAATTTTTGAATTGTAAGATACAGCTGTTTGGAACAACTGGTTAAAGATTGATGCAACGTTTCGACAAGTTTCTGTAGCCGTCTTCCATCATAAAATATATCATATGGTATTCGTGCTTTATCGATGTTCACAATGTTCAAAAGTTTGGTTAATTCGTTTTAGAATTGTCGTCTTTTGGAAGCTCTATTTTCAAATTATGCAACACACTCTAGACGGGGCTCTCTGCTCTGTTAAGGGAAAGGATTGGGCATGCTAATTGTCACATACAAGGTACTGGCTTTGTTGACTTTCTGACAGTTGTCAGATTCCAAATTTTCTTACATCTTTATTTTCTTCTCTTTCAGCATGAAAGTTCTTCTTCTTACTCTCCTTCTGGTAGCCACTGCCAACGCCGGTCTCTTCTCTGGTCTGAAAGACACCTTCGAAAAAATCGGCCATGACATCAGTAACACCTTTAAAGGAGTAGTCGGAGGTGTGCAAACAACCGAAAAAGCTTTCTTACCTTACGCTAAAGATGTGGCTAAAAACCTTCTAAAACAAACAGCTGAAAGTGGTATTAGTGTTTTGTCCACTGCCGTCACTGGTAAGTTTTTCAACACTCATAGTGGGTGTTCAAATTTTGGTGGGGTAGGGGGTGGTAAGATTGGGTAGCTGAAAGTGGTATAAGTGTTTTGTCTACTGCCGTCACTGGTAAGTTTCTAAATTTCAATCTAATTTTCCCAAACCTACAGTAGATACTTCATGAAAAATGAGGAGAGAGGGGAGGGTTGGTAAGAATGGTCAAGGTCTGACAGTGGTATCTGTCTGTTGTCAACTTTCGTCAAAGGTTCTTGTAGAAACCAGTTTCCCAAGTTTCGGTGACTTTTAAAGGAATTTGGTAGGGTTGGACTGGCTGAAATACACAGCCGTTTAAAAATACGACTCTTAATCCTCTCGTCAACCATTTGGCTCTCGTCGAATCAATCCAAAAACTTGATTTTCATATTTCTTTTGTTTCAGATTTAGCTACCAATGCTTTCAAGGGACTTTTCCATCTCGGTCGAGACACCTCGTAAGTCATACTTCCGTTTCTAGCATCAACTCGTTGGCTTTAGTTAGCAGAATAGATATTAGATATTATTAGCAGCTTTTGCGATAGTGTCGGATTAAGATGCCTAGTTTTAGTGGAATTGAAGGAACCACAGATGTCTGACTGAAAATTGGAATGGTGCAATTAGATGCCATAGAGCAATATAAGGGATTCGGTGTTTATACGCTTTAGAAATCCGGATTAAATGTAATAAATTCTCCCTTATTTCAGCATCGTTGAAAAATTGGTAAATTTCGAACACTCCGTCAAAGAAGCCATCCACGAGGGTGTCGACCAACTCATGCCATTTATCCACAGTGGAATCGAGGAATTCGAGACTTTGGCCAACAAAGTCAGCAGTCTGGACTTCGATCTCCCAACTCTCGAGAAGGAAATTGGAAATATCCTTAGTGAGTATTGGTCTGGGTATTTTGGATTCTTCTAAAAGCGGTTTTAGGTTCTGTCACAGTTTATCTTGGGCCTCGTTGAAGGTAGCGGAATTAAAGGGGTAAGAGGTAAGGGTAGGGCAGGGCTTTTGGATTCTTCTGAAAGCGCTTCAAATTCTGCCACAGTGTATTCTGGACCTTGTTCAGGGTAAGGCAGGGCAAAGGGAGGGGGGGGGGGGGATTGCATAGGTTGTAGCCTTTCAAAATATTCAGAAGAAAAGGACGTAAAATGTCCGTGCTTATCTCAATCTGGAGCAGAAACGTAGGACGTAAAACACCGTTTCATTTCTGTTTGATTTTTTTTCAGTCGGTCACCATATCGTCAGTGGACAATTCTTGAAGGATTTAGAAAGCACCGTCATGTCAATTGGCCAGGAATTATTGGGAGGACACAAGCGAGGTATCATGGAATCTCTGAAAGGAATCACAGACACTTTGACTGGTACCTTCTCTCCTGCTCTTAAAAATATCGGAGACGTAAGTAGGCTATTGCTGTCGAATATGTTCGTATAGGATAGGCGTCTAGATTTTTCTTTTAATTGCTTTAGGTAGGCTTACCACTTTGGCGCCAGTTTCCACTGACGTCACATTCAGAGCACGCATATACCAATGACGTCATGATATTTGTGGACCTTACTTTCACGTTCTTTCCTTGTCAATTCAACTCAATAACATTCCGTACAAGCACAATAATTCCATTAACCAAAAATCTTGTCAAAAGTATGACTAAATAAGGATCAATAATTGTATAATAGTGGATTCCTCAATCGAGAAGTACCGTCAGGTGTTTCAAAAAAAAGAGTAAGCCTGGTTTGCCTTGCGCGAGACACCGAACACTACTATAATGGTAAAAATCATGAGATACAACCAGATCAATTCATGTCTGGCTATACAAATGTAACGCCATTTTTTTCTGTTCTTTTGCAGTTCTTCAACAATGCTGGAGAAGCTTTGAAAACTGTTGCCTCTAACATCATTACCTCAGTCAGCCAAAACATCGGTCAGCTCGCCGGCAAACTTTCTCCACATATTGATGCCTTGAAACAACACGGTGCTAACCTTATCAAGACCGCCACCGATTCCCTCTCCGCCATCAAGGACGCTACAGGAGATATTCTTAGTAAGTGAACATGATATTGTATGGAGCTAATAATGATTCAGCTTCAAGCTACCTGAAGATAAAATGTTGACTACGATTGTAGCCTATTCCAAGAGAACCGGCCATGGACACCAGATTTCGCTTGAAGCAAACTGAAGATTAAATTCTGATATGACAACTGACAAGGGTTGGATCATGAACACACTGGCCAATGCCAAGAGATTGTATTTTTGCCCTTCCCTTCTTGATAAAGGATTCGAACCCAATGTACTAAAGTGTACAATGTAATCTTTTGGGAAGGATTGTCTCCTGTGCGATTATTTTTTAATTAACAACAATTTTATACTTTTTTCAGATCAAACCGCCCAAAATGTCGGTGGAACTTTAACTGATGCCCTCGGTAAAATCGGAGGCCAGAACTAAATTCTGATGGACACTTAGTATTTTAATAAAAAATTTACTAAAATTTTTGTTTTGTTTCTCCCTTCTTAAAGCACTATCCTCTGTGTTACTTTCATGAGGTAAGGGGGGGAGGTGATCTTCTGTTGAACTACTGCTTTTTGGGACGACTGGAACTCAATTAATCAAACTGGTGGATTTATGACACAAACTGGTTTCTTACGATAAATCATTATGCCCCAGACCACTACATTTGGTAAAATAAAACAATCCTTTTCCCAAAATCTAGGTTATGTCCTAGAGGCAACACCAGACATCACCTAACTCCAGGTTATATTCTAGAGAGTGGTCCACTGTTGTATTATTGTCTGTTTATAGAAACACCAGACATCACCTAACTCTGGGTTATATTCTAGACAGTGGTCTACTGTTGTACTATTGTCTGTTTATAGAAACACCAGACATCACCTAACTCTGGGTTATATTCTAGAGAGTGGTCCACTGTTGTATTATTGTCTGTTTATAGAAACACCAGACATCACCTAACTCTGGGTTATATTCTAGAGAGTGGTCTACTGTTGTACTATTGTCTGTTTATAGAAATACCAGACATCAACTAACTCTGGGTTATATTCTAGAGAGTGGTCCACTGTTGTATTATTGTCTGTTTATAGAAACACCAGACATCACCTAACTCTGGGTTATATTCTAGAGGATGGTCCACTGTTGTACTATTGTTTGTTCGTAGAAATACCAGACATCACCTAACTCCAGGTTATATTCTAGAGGGTGGTCCACTGTTGTACTATTGTCTGTTTATAGAAACACCAGACATCACCTAACTCTGGGTTATATTCTAGAGAGTGGTCCACTGTTGTACTATTGTCCGTTCGTAGAAATACCAGACATCACCTAACTCCAGGTTATATTCTAGAGGATGGTCCACAGTTGTAGTATTATCTGTTTATAGAAACACCAGACATCACCTAACTCTGGGTTATATTCTAGAGAGTGGTCCACTGTTGTACTATTGCCTGTTTATAGAAACACCAGACATCACCTAACTCTGAGTTATATTCTATAGGGGGGTCCACTGTTGTATTATTGTCTGTTTACAGAAACACCAGACATCACCTTACTCTGAGCTGTTTTCCATAGGGTGGCCTGTTCTGTATCTTATAAGGCTAGTGAAATGAAATATAGTTTTATATCCTACTGTTCTGTATCTTACTGGACTAATGAAATGAAATAGAGTTTTATATCCTACTGTTCTGTATCTTATTGGACTAATGAAATGAAATAGAGTTTTATATCCTACTGTTCTGTATCTTATTGAGCTAATGAAATGAAATAGAGTTTTATATCCTACTGTTCTGTATCTTATAAGGCTAGTGAAATGAAATATAGTTTTATATCCTACTGTTCTGTATCTTACTGGACTAATGAAATGAAATAGAGTTTTATATCCTACTGTTCTGTACCTTATTGGACTAACGTAATCAAATAGAGTTTTATATCCTAGTCTTCTGTACATTATTGGACTAATGAAATGTAGTTTTATATCCTACTGTTATGTACCTTATTGAACTAATGAAATGAAATAGAGTTTTATATCCTACTGTTCTGTATCTTATTGGACTAATGAAATGGAATGTAGTTTTATATCCTACTGTTCTGTATCTTATTGGACTAATGAAATGAAATAGAGTTTTATATCCTACTGTTCTGTACCTTATTGGACTAATGAAATGAAATGGTGTTTTATATCCTACTGTTCTGTATCTTATTGGGCCAATGAAATGAAATGTAGTTTTATATCCTACTGTTCTATATCTTATTGGACTAATGAAATGAAATAGAGTTTTATATCCTACTGTTCTGTACCTTATTGGACTAATGAAATGAAATGGTGTTTTATATCCTACTGTTCTGTACATTATTGGGCCAATGAAATGAATACATGTTTGGTTCCAAGCCAATAAGTAGAACATCCTTATATTGTATATTTGGATATTTGTTGGACTGTACCATATTGGACTAATGAAATGAAATGTAGTTTTATATCCTACTGTTCTGTATCTTTCTGGACTAATGAAATGAAATGGAGTTTTATATCCTACTGTTCTGCATCTTACTGGACTAATGAAATGAAATAGAGTTTTATATCCTACTGTTCTATATCTTATTAGACTAATGAAATGAAATAGAGTTTTATATCCTACTGTTCTGTACCTTATTGGACTAATGAAATGAAATGGTGTTTTATATCCTACTGTTCTGTACATTATTGGGCCAATGAAATGAATACATGTTTGGTTCCAAGCCAATAAGTAGAACATCCTTATATTGTATATTTGGATATTTGTTGGGCTATTTCTTTCTGTTTATTGTGGTATTTCTAGCTTCTATTACATCTAATTTATATTCGGGTGTTATTTCTTTTAGACAGTCTACATTTTTATAATCCTTATTTTTGCCATTTGGTATTCCATTAAATTTGTTTTGTAAAATTTAAAAATAAAAGTCGATTGAGTTTGTTAACCGTTTCAGAGAGTCCACATATCTAAATTTAATGTTTATTTTGGTATTTTTGTCCTCTATCACATCTGAATTAGAAAGAGATAAAGTCGTTTCGTCATTTAAAAATACAAATCTTATCTGGGTTTGTTTTTCATGATGGTGCCATCTGATCCGCTCTCAAACAACCGCCAAAATTAGGCCACTTCTGCTGGCGATAAGATTTGGCGGTATAAATATAGAATGGTATCATGCGAATTCAACCTTAGGTTCATAAGAATTTAGGTAAGACAGACGTTCATTTCATTTTTCTTCCAAAGTCTTCAATAAATATCTTCTTTTCTTTTAGAAAATTTGCCCTTCTGGCAGAAGTTCGGTGCTTGTTAGCCATTTGTTAAGGGCATAGGCTTCCGAACATGATGCGGGGAAGGGGAGGGGGAGGAAGGGTGGGGGTGGGGATAAGAATTGTTTTGGAACTCTGTTGACATGTACTTGACTGGAAGATCTTGGATCACTTAAACAGCAGGGTGTCTTCAATTCCCGAATAAGCCTAGCCATTTAAAGTTATATAAGACAATATTATGGAATATAACACACTTTTTTAATAAGGTTGGACACATAACGTTTCAACACAATATACACGTGTCATCATCAGATGTAATGACAATGCAATGCAATTACATCTGATAACGACACATTTGTGTATATTGTGTTGAAACGTTATGTGCTCAACCTTATTAAAAAAGTGTGTTATATTCCATAATATTGTATTGTGTTTTGTTATAAGTGATCCTCGCTTCTATATATCATTCAAAGCTTACATTTCAAGCTGTTTCGACTGAACTCATAAGAACAGAAGACACCTGCAAGGTTTACATTGGAGAAAAGCTGAACACAAAACTCTATTTAATTTCATATAAGATCCCGAAAAGTTAACTTGCTTGACTATCAATTTCCATTTATTGTCGGTTTGACTGGGGCAGAAAAGTAGGACGTGAAACTCCATTCATTTCATTTTATTTGACTGGAACTGACTGAAAAATTAGGATAGTTGACTTACTATAAGAGTTCAGATGACCATTTCTCAGATACCAAACACATTTACAACTGCTTCAAAATGATCGTTAAGAGTTAAACAAATCTTGGTTTTTTTTTCAGACACAATGAAGGCTCTGTTGATTCTAGCTCTGTTTGTAGTGGCCGCTAATGTTCAGGTCTCCGAAGCTGGCTTCGGTACCTTCTTGAAGAACACATTCGGTAAAATCGGGGATGTGTTTAAAGCCACCGGACATCAGTTGTTGGGTACCCTAGACAATATCGGTGGTACTCTGTTTGATAAATTTAAGGATGCTGGTAAAAATCTCCTCTCTCAAGGGGTACAAGGTAAGATCTCATGCTTAAGGAAATTGGTGGCTATTCTATGGTCGTTCGAATCGAAAAAGGGG